TATATTTTTATATATATATATTTTGTTTTTGTTTTTAGTATTTTTAAATAAAAGACGCTTAAAGAATATATTGTGTCAAAAATATTTAGATACGTTTAAGGTGCGTTAGTCGCGCTTTATGCGTCTAATGCTTTAAACGCACCAATTACTAAGCCATTAAAATCCGTATACAAATTAGTTTGCCAACTTTTCGGATTTTACCGAATAATTAAGAAACTTTGAAACGCTCCCTTACTACCAACTCTATGCTATGCTAATTTACATAAATCGACCGCGCGAACTAACCGCACCTGAATTAAATCCTCGTAGTCTTGCTGTCAAATTTAATTAAAACGTACGGGAGAATGTCAGAAACATTAATTCGGTCTTACATCGTTCGCTCCGCATTACTTAAACTTGCCGTTTCGTTTAGTTGTACACGTCCAAACTTGAAACTCGAGACGTCTACGCTTAGGTTTTTTCTCTTTTCAACAGAATTTCTAGTTCAAGAATATTAAGAATCGTCGTATTTTTCGAAACAAAATTAAATCCGAACGAAGTGCTCCTGATTAAGTGACACACGCTGCTTGCGACGGAATTTTACTTCAAGGTAAACGCATGTAAAATCTGGTATCACTGAGGGGATTTCAAGCGTTTTCTCTATTTCCGGCAAGAAATCTATCTCTGTGTACCTGACAGTCCGACGCAGCTAAAATAGCACCGGAACACGTCGGGGGCGTCGGTGGAGAACATGGAGACCGGCACGGAGCGAGAGTTCTGCTGCGAACAGAATGTATAACAACATTGCGAAATAAAAGGAAATCTGTAATAATTCCTTCGAATATGAAACAAGCCGCGTAAATAACACCGTCCGTAAATTTTTCGTTTTCGACGACTTTGCTAAAAACGTAAAAGAGGCGTAATAGAGGCGAGAAAAAAAACATTTAATTTTCTCAGTTCACAGTTGACTTTTCTCTCGGCACCTCGATTCGCTTGGTCATCGTTATTTCCCTACCACGATCGTTTGCAGCTGCAGCACGCAGGCTGCTGGCGGCTGTGATTGCTCCACTGACGACGCAACTCGACGAAATTACTCAACCATCGGCAGTTCGGTCTTGGTGGCGCGTTGCTGTTCCAGATCTCCTCTTCGGCGCACTGACACGGTCCGGAACACGCGACGGGACTCCCGGCGGACCGCAAACCACCGCAATCACTGCGATCCAGACATCCCGCGTTACTTCGGCAATTGCACGAAGATATGAATTTTGTTGAACAACCGTCCGTTGCACGACCGTGATCTGCGCAACAACACCGCAAGAGAAGCGTAACCGCAATTCTCGAAATACAAATGCCGATTATGTATTAAGTGAAAACAGAAGAGGGAAATAAATTTTTAAACTCTCATTTAAAACTTCGAAAATGCACCTCTCTCTAAATTATTACAATTTTTCTTACAGAAAATATTTTCATCAGTTGCGCTTTAATTTAATTAAGTAACTAACTGTAACAACCGATGCCGTAAGATAGTTTCTTGTTGTCAGTTTTATTGCAGTAGGACATATTGATTTCTCTTCCGGAAGAGACTCGAGTTTGACGGAGTTACAACTTCGCGCGGGTATGCCATTTACGATCTTAAATGGATACTACAAAACGACAAAAAATATTGGCGCAACTTGGGTTTACATTTTTGTGAACAATCTGTTTTTTTTTCGTTGATTTTCTTCACCGTTGCGATTTGACGGGTGACGAAAAGATGTGAAGATCAGCGAGGATCGAAGATTGATTGAAAAGAATATGAAGATGTCGGTTTATTGTCACCTGTAAATAAATACGTGTTTTTTTTTTTTTTTTTTTTTTACAGAATCAGAGAGAAGAATGAGAACGGCCAGGTCTCTCCGTAAGAGTTTTTACGATCGCTTTTCCGCCCCGTAAGCTAGCGCGTGTCCACGGGTGGTGCACATTGTGGCAACTACGTAGCGATGTTCACGAGCGAATTGTCGATACCAGAGAGAAGAATGAGACCGGTCACGGCCATAAGAAAATGTGTAATCGCTTTTCATGGACACGGTTCTATTCCGTGCTTCATTTGTGGGACATGGTTCTATTCCGTGCTTTATTTGTGGGACATGGTTCTATTCCGTGATTAATTTGTGGGACATGGTTCTATTCCGTGCTATATGAGAACACCGACGTGGTGAGGATACGATCTGATCAGAGAGAAGACTGAGAGCGGCCAGATGTCCACAGGTGGTGCACATTGGAACTACGGAGTCATGTACACGAGCGACTGTCGGTACGTGCAATGTATCCCCCCCCAAAAAATTGAAATTTTTGAAACATTTTTTTTCATTTTTTAAATATAAATTTGGACCATCCCTTATTGTATGTACTTTAATCGTAGAAAAGGATTTGTCGATTCATACAGCCAAAAAAAAACCTTATTGTGCGCGAAACATTCGCGAGTACTCACACACCTGAAGGAGCGTGAATTTAGTAATTTTTTATAATAATTGATATTAATAACAGCAGCAATTAATGTTACAAGATATATATTTCTTTATTAAAAAAATAAAATAACAAACAAATGTACGCTGTCTTGTGTGAATATTGCGGAAGTTTATGGAAATTTGGAAGATGTAAATCTGTTATTTTTCAGTAATAATTTGTGCATTTGTAATTGATTTTCGATACTTAGATTCGTGCACATTGCACAGAATTGAACCGCACGCTGTGGACAAAGCGCGGAATAGAACAATCAGAGAGAAGTCTGAGAGCGACCAGGTTTATAAGAGAATGTATAATCACTTTTCCGCCCCGTAAACTAGCGCATGTCCACGGGTAATACACATTGGAACTACGCAGCCAGTCCACGAGCGACATGTCGGTGCGATATGTCCACAATGTGCGGTTCTATTCTGTGCTATGTGCACGAGTTTAAATGGTCACTTTCTTTAAGTGTGTGAGTATATTCGAGAGCGAGAATTTGATTTTTTTTTTAATTTAAAATGACCGATCTCGTGATGAAAAGATAAAAAAGGAAAACAGAAAAAGATAAGAAAAACCATTGCAACTTTTCGTACAACATAAATGTGACATACCAGAAAAGATGTGATAGTCAAGAAAAGAATCTTGTTTTAGCGAGCAACATCAGAATTCGTGGAGTGTAGTCAAATACCATCTCCTTTTACATCATCATTTGCTGCTCTGTGCTTTATAAATTTTATTTTATTTTTTTAAAACACTACAAATATATATAAATACAAAATACACAAAAAACCATATATATTATACAAAGGTGTTTTAACGGTACACAAATATAATGTCTGAAAAGTTGCAATTCCAAGAAATATAGCTTTTGTGNTTTTTTATTTAAAACTCTTTATCAGTGAGTTTTCTATTTCCAAGTTTCATTTTACAATTTTTTTTATACATTACAATAGAATACAATTCTATTACACATTTATTACATATAATATACAATATAATACAATATAATACAATATTATATATAATATAATATAAATAGTTATATATAATCCTACCTATCTACCTATACCTATCTTAGACATCTGACATATTATCTTAAACGTTACTAGCCTTATTAATTAGGATTAAGGCTGCATAACAGCCTTAATCCTAATTTGACATTTTGATTTCTTCCTACTTATTCGGTCTACCATATTTCCTACCTACCCGGCCTAATATATTTTCTACAAACGCTTGTAGATACGCATCCCTACCTACACAGATAACTACCTACCTACTTCGGATAGTTTTAAAACCTATCAAATATTTTACGCGAGGGGCAGTTGTTTTAAAATTAAAAAGTAATTATTTTAAATTTATTTTAGTTTCCCGACCGAATTTTTATATTTTATTTGATTTAAAGAAAGTATGTACCCATCCGATAAAGCCTACCATGTATTTATAGATGAGATAGAATATGAAAAAAGTAAAAATATATATTTAAATATATATATATTTCAAATATATATTCAAATATATATTTTTGCAAAGATAA